GACGTCCCATCATGAAGCGAGGCTTTTGACTGTTAAAGTTCTGAACTGAGATGCCTTCCGTTTTCGGTTCATTTTGTTACCCTGCTCCTCCTGACGGATAGCTTTGTCCACCAACTTCTGAAAGTCCTCATAATCTCGGGAGATCAACTGGTTGGTCAATTCATCATCAAGACCCGACAAAAACTTCTCCTGCCTCTCGGCATCAGTGCGCACGTCCTCAGGAGCGTAGCGCGCGAGGCGGTTGAACTCGTGCAAATACTCTATAACTGTTCTGGTTCCTTGTTGCAGAGAACGGAACTCTCTCTTCTTCTATGCCATGATTCCCTCGGGAACCTGTGCCTTATTAAAACTCTGGCAAAACTATGACCAAGTGACTTCTGTCCCAGCTGGACGGGTCACCATGTAGTTGTCCCACCAAACAGAAGCGGGACCTTGCAGCTGGTGTGTAGCAAAAGTAACCTTCTCTCCTCGTGGGTCGGCCCAAGCCGCCCCTCCCTCTCTCCTCGGGGACGCCGACAGGTGGGTCCCACCTGTCGGGGTCGTCCCCTTCCTTCGGCCGCCCGCCCCACGTCGGTAACCGCCGCGCCCACCTCCGCCGCTCCTCCCGCGCCAACGCCGCGTCGCCCACGCATCCTCCCCTCGTCGCCGCTCTCTCCCCGCGTCTCCCGGCCCGCGCGTGCGCTCGAAAGGGGCGGGATTCGCATTTTGAATCCCCCCATTTCCTCTCTCTCCTCCCCGCGTCGCCGGCGTAATCGGAGGTCCTCCCGGCCACGTCCGCCTCCCCCTCCGCCTATAAAACGTTCCCCGTGTCCCCCTCTCTTGTTTTTCGCTTTCGCCGAGCTTCCCCGTGCCCTCCTTTGCTCCCGCGCCGCTTCACCCATCGCTGCCACCCTCCGGCCGCGCTCCGGCTGCCGCTAGCCGTCGCGCCGAGCCTCACCGTTGACGCCGCCGCGTTCACCATCCCGTGGGCCGTCGCGTCCGCCATCCGCCCGGCCAAATCCACCGTCGGGGCCCGCTTCTCCCCGCACGCCGGTGAGTACCACCATTGCCGCCGCCTTCGTCCATGGTTTCCGGCCGCCGTAGACCACCCCTCTCTCTCTCTAATCCCTCCCATTTTGTTCCCTAGGAGGTCCCGGAGATCGTCCGCCCATCGCCGTCGTCCTCCCGTTGTACGCCGTCGTCTCCTCTCGCGCCGGCCAACCTCGGTGAGAAACTCCTCTCCTCCCTCTTTCCCTCCCTCCTGTGTGCGCCGCCGTCCTCCGCGCGCGCACCGTCGTCTTCGGCCGCCGCCGCCGCTTTCGGCCGTCGCCGCCGCCTCCCGCGCCGCCGCTTGCCGTCGCCGGTGGCCGCGTGCGCACCGTCGCCGCTGCTCGCCATGATCGGCCGACCGGCGGGAAGCCGAGCTGAGCCCGGTCGGCGCCTCCCTCTCCCTTCCCCTATTGAGCCGCTGCCGGTGGGGCCCGCATGCCAGCCGCCCCCCCCCCCCTCTCCCTCTCTTAGTGCCGCAGACCAGTGGGGCCCGCATGTCGGCGCCGCCCCCTCCCCTTGCTGACGTCAGCCCTGGGATGCTTTATTGCGCAATAATTTATTAAGGACTTTTCTTTATTAGTAAAAACACAGATAATCTTCTAAAAATCATATCTAATTCATCCGAGCTCCGATTAAGCCCATTCAAGTCTCAGTAAATTCATAAAAATGTATAGAATCCATTAAAAATGGTTTGGTTTTCTGTTTCAGTAGACTTATAGCATGTTTTGCTTGTGTGCTTTGTTTGTCGCGTAGATTTCGGTCGTTTCGTCGATCCGCGGTTTCTCGAAGACGTTGCTGTGGTCTCATCAGTGCGAGAGCAAGGTAAGTCATGCATTACAATTGATCATACTGTACCCAATTTATAAATGTCCCGCATTTATATTAAATATTGCATTATTTTACAATATCATGTGGGATGGGTCCTATTACTCAGCTATATGTTGTTTCCCTTATGCCATTGATAACTTGGGTATTGAAATGACTAGATGTTGGTTTAGGAAATGCTTAGTCATGCTTAGTTCAACTAGTACACAAAAGGGGAATCACATTAATGCATAGACTTTGATTATTGGCATAGCTTTGGTTTAGTGCCATCGTAATGGTGTTGGTTAATTAAAATACACTACATGGTGGGCTGTGGGTGCATGGTTTTGTTAGTCGTGCCCATGGCGATTAAGGACCAGTTCGCGGGATGCCCTAGAAGAACTTATCGTACTTACCACAAGCCAGCGTGGGCAACGGCTGGGCTTGTAGTGTAGCTTTTCTCTAGCCGACGTACCCAGGCGAGGGTGGGCGTGATGGAGTTAAGTCGGCCGGGTGTCCGGTTGATCGGCTTCCGGATTCACTGCGGTACGAAAGGGGGGCTGCCCGTTGCCTGCTGGGGACGGGGGCGAACCCTAAGGTGTGGTGCGATCGGTTAGAGGGGGTTATGCGAAGGGTCCTGTCACGGCCTCTTTCCGGTATGTCGTGGTGGCATGTCGGCGCACGGAAACGTGGCGTGAGGCTGTGTCTTGTGGGTACAGTTGTACACCTCTGATCAGAGTAAAACTATTCGAATAGCCGTGCCCGCGGGTTATGGGCAGTCGACCAGATTCACCGTGATTAGTCTCACCCCTAGTTAGCTAAGGAACTGGCGTAGTTCAGGTGGTTGGTTGGGCCTGTTGCAACGTGGTGTAGCGTTAGACAGTGACTGGTTAATACTGATTAATTACTACAACTCTTTTACTGCTTTCAACTACTGCTTTTAAATGCTAGCTTTATGCAAATGAGCCCTTTAGCCTCCCTTGGGTATATCCTGCATCATACCTCCTTTTTCGGTATGACTTGCTGAGTACAGTGGGTAGTACTCAGTTTTGCTCTCTTTTCCCCACACCAGAGTTGAAGTCCTTCTCAGTTGAAGATGTCTCAAAGAAGTTGGTTTCGTCGCTGCCGTCAAGGATGCCTGTGGAATGGAGTCGCCCGCTGTAGGAGTCAAGTCTTCAGGCTTATCTCGCTTTTATCTTTTTCGCTGCATTTATAATCTTTTATATTTTTGTAAGACGTGGATCTGTATGTCAACAATTGTCGTTTGTGTACCCTGGCTGGTCCTAGACAGGGGTTTAATACATATTCAGCTTAGAAATTCTGGTTCGTGAATTTCTGGGCGTGCCACAAGGCCCGCTCGCCCCCTGGTTGGGTGGAGCAGACGTGCCCGAGCCACCGCCTTTGCTGCTCCTGTTGCTTCCTTTGCCGCCTTTGCCGCGAGCGCCGCGACCGCTGTCTTTGCCACCAAGACCGCCCCCTTTGTTAGTGGGATGCCCGGAGGGTTGCTGGTAGGCGGGGCGGGAGGATGAGAAGCCGCCACCTGTGCCGGCGACGAGAGCTGTAGGGGGAGACAGGGTCAGGGACCCCATGGTAAGTTCCTCGAGGATGAGCTCATCGCAGGCCTCCAAGAAGGAAGGGAAGGGACGGCCACGTCGGAGATGGCGACCAACGGAGGCAAACCGCTCGTTCAATCCTCGGATGAGGTTGAGGACGAGGGAGCGGTCGCTGACTGGTTCACCAAGATCAGCGAGGTTGTAGGCAGTGGTCTTGAGAAGCTTGCAGTAGTCGGTGACAGAGAGGTCCCCTTGGACGAACGTACGGAGTTTGGCATCGAGGATGAGGGCCCGCGCCTCTCGGTTGCCGAGAAATTGGCTCTCGATGGCAAGCCAGATGGTGCGGGCAGTGACACCTTGGTCGCCGCGATGCCGGATGATGTCGAGGAGGTTGTCGGAGAGGGTGCCGTAGAGCCAAGAACGGACGACGCAGTCCATGCGCTCCCAGTCAGGCGAGTTCAGGGGACAATCGTCGTGAAGGACATGACCTTGAAGAGAATACTTGCCCAGCTTGAGCAGGAATTGCTCGCGCCACCGAGCGAAGTTGCCGGAGTTGACGTCGAGGATGACGTGGACAAGGCTGCGGATATTCTGGACGGCCACAGCTTGGGCGTGGAGGTTCAGAACAGCGGCAGCCTCCTGAAGAACCATGGCCGCGTGGACGGAAGGTCGAGAGCCATCGGAGAGGGAAGACGCGTCCTCTTCTGCGTCTTCCGGCGCAGCGGCGGCGCGCTCCAGGGCGGCGCGGACGCGCGCGGTAGCAGCGTCGCGCTCGATGGCCGCGGCAACGGCCTCAGCCTCGGCCTCCTCCGCGCGGGCGAGGGCGGCGCGGCGGGCTTCGGCTGCGGCGTCGTCGCCAGCTGCAGAGGGATGGAGGGAGCCGGCCATGGAGGGAAGAGAGGGGCGGCGCAGGGGCAGCACGCCGGAGGGGTGGCGCTAGGAGCAGCACACCAGGGATGCGGAAGAAGAATCGGGTGAGACCCGGACTCGTGATACCATGTAAGTGAGGAAGACTCTGTATTGTATTAGATTGAATCACAGTTTAGAGGAGATTACATTATATGGGTTCAAGGTGTGAACACAAGCTAGGAAGTCCCAGGCCTAATTAACACACACACTAAACAGCACAAGTGCCTAGGCTGGCGCATGGCTGCAGCCAGAGCCCAAGGCGCAGGTACAATAGTCTAGGAGACAAGTATAAGATCATCCACAATGGTAAAGTAAGTTGCTCTCTATAAAACATATACATCTCAGCAATAGACTAGATTAATAGTAAACCACCTCAATAGTATGTCTACATAGGTATCTATAGCTCTCTCATCCATTGCCTCGTTTTTCTCTATAGACTATCTCCAGATTAGTATATAGCTTTACTCTCTTTCTTCATTTAATCTGTTCCAAGTAGGAAAATATGTTGACATGGATTTCTTGTAGAGAGCCTATAGATAACCATTGCGGGTGCCCTAACTTGCTAACACAGAGATATGAGACGGCAACATTTTACCATTTGTACCTAAAAAGGGAAACTCGTGAAATCAACATTAAGCAATAAAATTTAACCAAGACACAAGAGTGCATGACCATATACTGTAGAAAGTTGTACTGGAAATTGACAAGATACAACACAGATAGGATTGTGATTTCCGATAAGTTGAAAATTTAATATTACAAAGGGAAGGAACCATAATATCGTTAACCTGGGCATTAAAACATATTTCACAATATCGAAGAATTCATGGTTTTAGTTTACAAGTCACAAGTGACTGGGAAGCCATCAAAAGTCATATACAAAGTAAGATGGGATACCTGGACTGCAAAATGCCACGCAACAAAAAAATCAGTACCAGTTTACTAATTTTGGTTCACTGGCACGAAGGAGCATCTATACAGGATATTCTCCACTTCTCCATGTGAAAATTTCCATCTCGGACAAGATAGCAAAAATGTGTGTTATGGACCAATGCCCCCAGTATAGGCAACGACTTCAGGACTACATCAAATGAATTAAGAATAGAGCACATAAGCATAAAATCGGATTCATAATGTTTCATCAGATCAAAGATAATGAAAACATTCAAATGTAATGTGATCCCAGAGAAAGAAACTTAAAATAATATTAGAAAACAAACAACAAAAAACTACACAATACTAAACTGAGTCAATACACGACAGTGGTCACAGGTTTTCAAATTCAACTGGATGACTAAACTCTTAAAGACAAAAACAGGCTGAACTGACTGAAACGAAATGCCAGAAAAATTGGACCATAAAATGTTCTACGTCATTCAGTTCTTAGTTCATGAACAGAAGAGAAGCATGTGCAACACTCATGGACTTTCAAGTATCTAAAAGTATAGTTGAAGCAAGAACTGCAAATGCGACAGTGTTAAGTGATGATATAAAAACTGCATGATGAACACATGCCTAACCAAGTGTATTACAAAGCACTCAAACTATTTCATTTCGAGTGAGGCAGTGAGCTGCTTTACAAACATTGTTCAGTGGAAAGAAGCTCTACTGGTGAGCTGCTGGTACATATTTGAGCAAACTCTACATGAAACAAAAAAGGTCACATGTCGAGGAACTAAGCAAAGAATAAACAAATCTGCTAAATCCACTACCAAATACTCCTCGAAGGCATAAAGGAGAAAAATCACCTTCCTCTCCTTTGCTGAATGCAAATTACAGATAAAGCTCAAGTTTGTCCCTCTGAGTGGTCAGCAGCAATGGTGAGGCGCTCACTTTCTAGAAATGAAGGATCCAGAAACTTGGCGACAAATGCCCACATATTGTACACGTCTTCAAAATTAGTAAGGAAGCCAAGGGAAGCAGTCACAACTTCAACTCTTATGGTCACCTTTTTACTGTCTTTGCGGCCGTTCTTATAGAAGGAAGCCTCAGGTATATCGAATGCTCCATTTAACTGTTTGTGGTTCAGGTCCACCTTTATATGACTGAGAAAACCAATGCCAAGAGATATGCCATTCTTCTCCGCAATCTTCTGGACAACTTCAGCATTAACAAAAGTGCCATCACTTTGCTTCACATTGAAAGCAACAGCAGCTCCCCTTTCGTACTTAATCTTTGGGCCATAAATGTGGACAAGGGGGTCTCCATCACCACCTTTTGAGCCTGGTAACCTCAGCTGCAACAGTGAAGTTACTAGCCAATTGATCAGGTATCTTAATCTAAGAGTAGTTCTGTTAAGCCCCATCATATCAACATGATCAATGTGCCTGCATATTATCTCCGGCTCTCTCCTGCCCCAGTCCTGAGCATTATCATACCCATCACTTACACAACCATCATCATCACGGAATGCATATCCAGAAGCTTCAGCAGCATCTGAGGCCCGGTGTAGTCTATCCGCAATAATATTTGCTTCAGTGCTGAATGAAACCCTACGGCCCATGCTTAAACCTGCATCAATCTCTTCAACACCGAAGAGCCGACCCCCAGCAAATCTGCTGTTTCCATCCCTCCCTCCCAAAAGCCGAAATTCCCCTTCAGTCTCCCTTCTTATCGCACTTTCTTTGTGATCCCCACCGCCATTCATAGCATGTTGACATACAACTTCTTCAACCTCTGGCTCCTCTTGAATTTCACTAACTTGCCTGAAGTGATTCCGCCGACCATTCTCATAGATTTCTTCTTCAGGGTCTTCCTTGAGGCAGTCCGCGTCATGTGAAACTGATAATACAGCTGCATCAAAAGATATCACCTGACCATCATAAAGAGGGCTTCTTGATATCCTGGATGTTAGGTTCGGTGACATCCTCTTGTTACTCTTTCTGCCAGCGAACCAAGAAGATGGTAATGGGGATCCAAGTTTCCCTTTCTTGAAATGACCACCCTTCTCCGACCCCAATGGGCTTTGGCCAACATCAACCCAGAAAGAATTCTCTGAAGAGCAATCTTCGCTGAAAGCCGGGCTCCTCATGACCTCACCAACTGAGATGCTCTCAGTTTCTTCAAAAATGGTGCTCGCCCCATCCCTGTCCGAGCTGCTGTCACGGCCAGGATCACTCTCAAATGCCTCTCTGACCTGAGCAGATGTGTACACACCTGAAAATGCTGGCAGCTGCGAACCATTACGGGCATCAGACGCTGGCTTCTCATCTTTGTGGACACCAGAATCATCTTCGAGACCATCCATTGCATCAAATCCATCAACAGAATCACTTAGATATTGCGGAAACACTGGAACAATCCTCACCATCCCAGAAGCATTACACCCATTCCTCCCCTGCAAGCTCCCAATAACTGATTTCTTAATCAGAAGGCAACCAAACCCAGTTGGGTCTGCACCGAAAACCCGGTAGAACGAGGTTATGATGAAATCCGGCCTGAACAGCGAGAGCCCCAGAGAATCCATGTCCTTGGGGCCCAGTGCGCCTGCATCAAGCATCACATGCCAGCCATTCTGCTGCGCCAGCGCCATCCACTGGTAGGAGTACTTGGCGCCGGTCACCCGAGATTGTGCAGGGAACACAAACAAACCAACCGCAGAATCCCGTCGCCGCCCTCTCCTCTTACCGACGATCTCCTTCCTCAGCTCCGTCGAGCAGAGCTTCAATGTCGGCCACCGGAACCACGCGGTGCGCGTCTTGGCACCCTTCGCCCGCGCGCTCTGCGCCATCCAGCTCACGGACTGGCTCTCGTGGTCGAACATGGTGAGCAGCCTCCGGTTGGTCTCGAACGGGTAGCACTCGGCGAGGAGCCGGAACGCCGAGCCCCGGCTCACGGTGAACACCAGCGCGTACTCGCTCGCCGGCACGTTCAGGTACTCGAGGATCCTCTCCTTGATGTCGTTCTCCACCGTGCCGGCCTCGGCGCCGCCGTAGAGCGCGTGGTTGCTGAGGTTGGCATTGAGCTCGGACAATGTGAAGGACGAGGAGGAGGAGTCCCAGCCGGAGTCGAAGAGGCCGAAACCACAGTAGTCGAGGCAGACCCTGCCGCCCGCGCCGCCGCCGGGGGCGGCGGCGTCGAGGTGGGAGTAGTGCTCGACGCGGAGGCGGTCGACGTCGGACGTGGTGGCGTAGTCCGGGTACATGGCGAGGAACCCGGCGATGGCGGCGGGGAGGAGCGGGATGTCGGAGGGCGAGCGGAACGGGCCGCCCGCCGCGGCGAGCGCGGTGGCGCGGAGGAAGTCGCGCTGCGCCCGGAGCCGCGCGAGCGAGCGGGAGCGCGACACGGCGGCGTCCGCGTCGGCGTCCGCGCCCGCGCCCGCGGCGTCCGGGGGCGGGCACAGCGAGCCGTCCTCCGACGCGGCGTCGAGCGCGTCGCGCAGCTGGCGGAGGAACGACGCCGGGTCGTCACCGCGGTGGCCATTGCTTCCGCCGCCGCCGCCGCGGCGGCGGTGGTTCTTGGCGAGGAGGACGGCGGCGCAGTGGGAGAGGGGCTTCCATAGGGAGAGATGCATAGGGAATCGAGCGACCTGAGAAATCGCAGCTTCTCCTTCTTCTTCGTGGCGATTTTGGATCAACGAGGCATCGAGGAGGAGAAAAAATGAGAGATTTTCGTGGAGAGATTTCAGAAAATTGGATCTTTGGAGAACTATGGATCAGAAAATGAGCATTTCTTGAATCAAGAACACTGGCAGAATGGCAATGGAGAAGTGGGGAGAAGAAATCTGAGAGGGTTTGTTTGGTGGTGGGGGTGAAATCAAATGGATTTGGAGGAAAAGATGGGGATTTTTGTGGTAAAAATTGGAGATTTTTGGTTTGAAGGAGTTTGGAGGGGGATGGAGGGTTTGAGTTGAGATGCAAGGAGGACAAGCCTTCACCTTTTCCTTTTGGACTTCTCTCCTCAGCTAAAAGTGAGGGGCTTTTGCTTTTGGCAGGATCAAGAACTCAAATTAAAGAAAAGAGCATCAAAGAGGAGGAAGCAAAAAAGAAAGAAATATGTAAATAAAAACTAAAGATTTGACTCTGTCTTTTCTGCTTTGCAGCAAGCAAGAAACAATGCTCCCCAACAAACCAGTGATGAACTGGCCTGGCTCTAGTCTCTCCAAATCTAGGGAAGAAGAAGAAGAAGAAGCTTAAGGTCAGATGCAGAACAAATCTCACACAGAGCCTCCCTCCTCTCACCAAACTCTTGCAAGTGTTTTGAATGCCCTCACTAAATGCATTTGCATCATGAGGGAGGGCTCTGCATTCATTTCCAAGAACTACTACTACTACTACTAGCAGCAAGCACCAACTTTTTTATTAGTTTTGGTTTTGTTCCTACACTTCACTTTGGAGCAAAGTACTGGCACTATTTTAGTGTGGCTCAGTGTGTGCCTGCTTTTTTAGTACTATCCACCAAGTAAAAACAAAGTGTTTGGTACTCTTATTATTGGCTTTTCCTATTATTTTTATTATTATTATATATTTTCTTTCTCCTCCATGGGGCTCACATTGGGCTGTAAAGTAGTGTTGCAAGAAAGTATTTGGGCATTGACTTTTTTCACCATTTAAATGCAGTGTTATTGGGTGCTTTTGGTCATGATTTTTCTATAGGGGTTAAAGCAAAAGTTTTATCTGAATGATTATCTTCTTGACTGATTTGTGGCCTTGGCTGTCTCTCTCTGCCCTCGTGCTCATAATAAGGAAATATTCTTTTTTTTTCCATAGCATTGTAGTAGTAGTAACTTTTGAAGAAAATAAAAACTCATTTTGTTATGTTTATTCTAATCCTCATAGGCCCCAGTAGAAATAAGTTATTTCAGTTACAGTTGCAAAATAATTAATGCTGATCAATACTGACATTTAATACGTGTACTGACCTTCTTAATGATAACTGTATGGCATTAACAGTTCGATAACAGTTTTGATATTCCTCTTCAATTTCCATATTTTTATATTCCAGTCCACCCAGTACCCATGCAGTGCATGATTTGCTATGGGCCTGTCTATGATTGTTGATCTAATCTTTTTTAAAAAGTAATCAAAGTTTTTTTATTAATCTCAGACAATTTATATTAAGTCGATACATCACACTAAGATACTTTCATCCTCTATATAACTAAGATGTACAGAGCCACAACAAACTCATACGCACTCTCAAAAGGATAAATCACAAAGGATAACAAGGATAATCAATCTTTTTAATAGAGTAAATTTCACAAACTACACGTTTTATGATTCAAGTTGCAGAAAACCACACACATTTTGACACTTGGCACTCAAGTACATATATTTTGGTAGTGTAGTTTTACAAAACCACACTATCAATAAATGGATTCGTCTATGAGATAACATGGTTGTTCCACCTAGGATAAAGACGTGGCATCCTATTAATTTCATGCGATGGCTGGTAATAGGATGTCACGTCCTTATCCTAGGTGTAACAACCACGTCATATCACAGATGCATCCATTCATTGATAGTGTGGTTTTGTGAAACCACACTACCAAAATATATGTACTTAAGCGCCAAGTATCAAAGTGTGTGGTTTTCTGCAACTTAGACCACAAAACGTGTACTCTTTTTAATATCTGATCATCAGTTAATCAGGTCCACATTATTGGTGATGCACAGAGAATCCAGGCGTCTAGTGTGCATGGATGGACAAGACAGGGTCAAATGGCCACATAAGCCTTGTGAAACTGTGAGCTGTCGCAGAAAAGCCTGAAACTTTATTTTTTTAGGAGTTGTATTTCCCTATCCATCCATGCTGCGCTGACTAGTGACCACTGTGAATGATGGCAACAGTTGTTGTGATCGGCCTCATCTGATCTGGTCTCACAACTCATCTTCTCCTGTCCATGCCATGGTGTAAAATTTCTTTGAAGTTGAGATTTCTACGCAGTGATCGTGGATATTCTGGTAAGAATTTTACCCTATTGAGTAAAAACAACCTCCCATCATTTACCGTTCAGCTCATAAACCGTAATCAAAATTTAAATTCTAAAGTTGATTTTAAGGGTTTTCTCTAGTAGTTTATTTTTCTATATTCTTTTTTAAAATTACTAAGAATATATATATATATATATATGTTTTATTTATAAATTATTTTTATGTTGTTATGGTTTATAATCAGTATAATCGAAACGATGACTGTGACTGTTATATGTAGGGTCTGTTCACTTTGATGCTAAAAAAAACCTTGCCAAATTTTGGCATTACCAAAATTTTGGTATAGTTGTCAAAATTTTAGCAGGGTTTCTTATATAGTTATCAAAATTTGGCAGCAAACTAAATATAGCCATTTTTTGATAACTTTACCAAAATTTGGTAAGGTTAAAAACAACATCAAAGTGAACAGGCCCGTATTTTTACTTCTTTAAGGATAAAAATGCCTATGTTCTAAATTTTTAAGTAATTTACATATAACTAGCCAAGAGCTCGTGCGTTATAACGAAAAAAATCATTTATAATTTTTAAGTTAATTAAGCACATATTTTGTCAAAGTAATAATTTTATGATTTTTCTTATTGAATAAGTAGGTGATTTTAAAATTTAAGATAAACCAGCAGTTAAACGGGAGATGACTCGTTGGAAGTTAATGTGATACCGTAGATTGTGTCCTAAATATCAGTGGTAGGGGTGGTGCAACAGAACGGACGCCACCCTATGTAGTACTCCCTCCGTCCCAAAAATATAGAAAAAATGCTTATATTTCGGAACGGATGTAGTAGTACTAAAGATTTAGTAGTAGCATCTTCATGAATGAATGAATGGTTTATAAAAATTGTGGAAGCAGACACATGGTTCTGAATGTATCTATCTGTAGAAGTACTCGATGGGTAGATATTGTTTTTCCAAGTATTTTGGTGGGGTAAGAGTTTAAGACCCCGAATGTTCTTTGCATCAGCTTTGAAATAAAATTCGTATTTTTCTTATGAGCTGCAGACCCCATTTTTGTCTAATTATTGTGGTGACAAAAGCAGGACCACTCACTACCAAGATGGGGCAGGACAAGGGACTAAAGATAAATACAGCCAAGGACAGCGTTGCCGTAACTCCAATTATTCATGCTTTTATATACTAGCTAGATTAAATGGGTTCATTTGCATCTTTGCCACTATGGTTCCGAGTAATTGTCAATTACCCTACTGTTATTGATTTCAATTGCAAGTTGGAAATGTGGCACACTCCATTTACGTGTCAATCGTAATTCAGAAATGTGCCATACTTCAGTTGCAACATCTATATTCTATAGTCAAGTAGTCAACCAAGCCCGGCTGTCTATTGGATAAAATTGCCCTTGAATCAGCTACATATATATATAGAGAGAGAAAGATCACAAGAAAAAAAATACTTTTACGAATATGCGCAAAGCGTGGATCTTTTGTATTAAAATCAGAAAATTACATGTTTCACAGAGACATATCAACTATGTACAGAGAAAAGGAAAAGGGACTTAGGCTCTATAGACAGTCAATTGCACGGTGCCTTTGTCACTGACATGTGGGTCCAAGAATCATCGGACCCACATGTTAGTGACAAAGTCACGTAACTTCGACTGCAAAGGATTCTGATCTCACTCATGCCTCCCACCAGAACGCGGCATTCATTGCTGCTAGCTTCAGCCACTTCTCGTATGGTCTTTGTAAGCGCCGTTGAATGTGTGATTGTTATGTTCGTTATAGATTGGCTATGCAATCAGGATATATAATATTCTCTTCTTTCATTTATATATGAAGTTCATTCCTTCTATTTATATGTGAAGTTGGTTATTTCAAAACATCGGAAGTAGGGGATGGAAAAAGAGAAATGCAAAGTAAATACGCTCAGTGACATGTCCTAATAAAAACGCTCAGTGACAAACGACATTAATCGACTGGAGTTCCAGCTTGTAACAATTGGATAGAAATAGACCAAAATCAACCAAATACACAAGCAAGAGAGCAATATCTGTTTTTTAATGGTAATCTGTCAAAAGAATTTGCAGTGGCAATTATATAAGTGTGCCAATTAAATTTGTACCACAAAGAGATAAAGCTAAATAGATCAGGATAGACATCATCTGATCACTCGATGAGAAGACAAGACTCCCTAAGTCAGCTCACACGGTGCCATGGGCACAGATCTCATTTCCAGATACCCATGTAAAAAACTGTCCCTAGCAATTCAGATTAAGATTCCATTCCCTCCCCTAGTACAAGATTAGCACCAAATTATATTCCAAATTGCCTCTACTCAATAACCTAATCATTGACAAATTGATCTGTAAACACACACCAATTATATCACCATGATCCAAACTCTGAACCCACCATGCTGAACAACATCTGCACAACCAATTTTGTAAGTAGTAAGCTGGAAAGCTCCAAGGAAAACCTACCCATCTTTTTTTAATGATACCTTTTTTTTAATTAGTAGCTAAGCTAGCATTAGTTGCTCCCTAAACTTGTACTAGATCATGTTTTTCTATTGCCCCCCACTTGCAAAGTTGCAAAGAAGACATGGGCAAGCAAAGCCACATAACACGTCAAAACAAAGTTGCAAAGATGAACTAGCAGGGAACCCTAGCTTGGGGCAATAACCCTCTTGTCCTTTCCCATGTCACACAGCTCATCGCACAATGTCTCTCCAAACACCAAAAAGAGAGAGCTTTTTTTTGTAGTTTGGGTTGAAGAGAGAGCATGTCCGGAGAAGAGGCTGGATTTGGGGTGTTTTCTTCCCCTCTATGCTGCTGGCTCTTTAATTGCAGAGCCCTTGTACATGTACAAAAACCTCTGTTTATGTGTAAAGAAATGATTTTCCTTTTGCAGCTGACAACAACTTTACTCAATGGGAGTTGCAACTTTCAGAAGCATAGTATCTCTGATTCAGTCTGCCTGCTTGTTGCTAGTAGTTGCTAGTTGCTACTTACAAGGTTGTATTTGATTGGTGATCTCTGAATATTCTGAATACTTCTGATCCAATCGACTACTGATTCTTTTCTAAACATTGTACAGTAAACCTCTGTAGTATAGTAAAAAATGATTCTTTTGCTGCTAACAACTACTTACTCAATGGGCAGAAGCATAGCATTTCTCACTCACATTCTGCTTGCTTGCGACTTACTACAAGGTTGTGTTTTGATTGGCGATTTCTGAATGTTCTGAATACTTGCGACCTAATGGACTTCCAAATTATTTTTTCAGAGGTGTACAGTGAAACCGTACTAATCTGCAGTTACAATATCATTTCACTCTTTGACCACGCCTAGTTGTACCACTAAACCAGTCTGCTAATCTGTTCCCTTAATTTTTATTTTTGTTGCCTTGTGTTTGCTCATAGTCCGTGTCCACTCCACCATTGCCATCGATCTCCTCTTTGTTTACTGCAAGGCTCGTTACTTGTCG